TATATTCTCACAAAGTCAGTATATGACTCAGGCTGTATCCAAGCTTTTGAACCATCGCACTGGGATTATAGCTGTGAGCTCCTACACCTGGCTGTGAGGGAGATTTTTTTGGTGAAGGTAGTGACAGCTACAGGAATCTATATTTGTATTAGAATTTATGAAACTATCAGAAACATGATAATTTTAAAAAATACATCCAAATATTACTTCCTTAGGAAGCCCCACCCTTCGGGGCAGAATGGGGCCTTCAGAGGGGGTCAATTGGACAGTCATCATCCTGACATGCCAGTACAAGGACAGCGTCCAGGTCTTTCAGAGAGGTGGGTTGCTTTGCCCTCCCCCACCCCCCAAACCAGGGATTGAATTTAGGCCCTTGCGCTTGCCAGGGAAGTGCTTATTCCACTGAGCCATCTCCCCGGTCCCTTGCTTTGCCCTTAACCTGGAACTTCCTGGCCCCATCTGCGGCTGGGCCTTATAGCCCTGGAAGCCTGGCATATCATACTTGAAATGTAGGTGCCTCCTCTTGCTGGGACAAAATACCCAACACCCCAAATGAAGGAAGGAAAGGCTTATTTAGCTCACAGTTACTGGAGATTTCAGCCCATACTCAGCTGGCTCCAAGGCACATGGCACAGAGCAGCGTTCATGGCAGTGGCCAAGCGCAAGGGGTGGGGACAACAGCTGGGGTTTCTAGCCAGCCTCTCTCCCTCCCTTACATTGTAATGCAGATAACCCTGCCCAGGGCCGGGGTGTAGCACTCACTCCTGCAATCCCAGCCTTAGATCCAGAGGCAATCACAGACTCCCAAAGCTGCCCCATGACTGCAGGAAGCTTTGGAAGGACACCTAGACACAAACCGTAACAGGACCTCATGTCATGTCACCTTGTTAGGCCGTCACCTTGTTAGGCCGCATTTTTCTCATTTGTAAGATGGGAGTAATAGTACTTAGTTCACATAATGGAGTCAAGAACTACTAAGGTGCTTTGTGGTATGTTACTGAATCAAAGAAACCAAACAATGAGTCAGTTGTGGTGATGCACACCTGTGATCCCAGCACGTGGGAGGCTGAGGCAGGAGGGTTGCTGTGATTTCAAAGCTGTCCTGGGTTACATAGTGGGTGTAAGTCCAGCAGAAAAGAAATCAGATAATGCGTGCTCCCAGTCTGGTCTAGGTGCTGTGGAGCAGGGGAGCCGGGCCAGGTGTGAGTCCCAGCGTACATTCTGTTCCCAGAGCTCAAGGTGCGGCAGAAGCGGGAGCAGATTCCGGCTGGGACACTCTTACTGGCTGTGGAGGACCCCGAGGTGCGCGTGGGCAGCGGAGGAGCCACCCTCAATGCGCTGCTGGTGGCAGCTGAACACCTAAGTGCTCGCGCAGGCTTCACGGTGTGTGCCTGGGGCTGGCTCTCTTCGATTCCTGTCCCCATTAGAACCATACAGTGGGTTTCGGAGATCCCCAGCCCTTCTGGCTCCAGTGCCCTGGGCCAGGTCAGCACTTGGCTTGTGTTTTGCATCTCTGAGTTAGGGTTACTCATGGCTGCCCTCCAGATGAGGGCTGGAGGCAGGGCCAATACGGTCTGTGATCCCAGCACTTAGGAGACTGAGGCAAGAGGATCGCTGCAAGGCCAGCCCAGGCTACATGTAAGACGTGCAAGGCCAGCCTGAGTCACAGAGTGAGACTCTGTCTAAAAAAAAAAAAAAAAAAGACAAGAAAGTAGAATGGAGGCAAGAGGAAGGGAATAAGTGGGGGCAAATAAAGGGAGTGTAGGACCTTGTGCTTGCCAGGTAGGCACTGTGCCACTGAGCTGTATCCCCAGCGGGCTGGGGTAGGATGGGGTAGGGAGTGTAATACTGAAATTCCCCCAAAATGTGAAATCTGCCAAAATGACCGAAATGAAATCCATTTATCTGTATAACCAATGTGCGTTAATTGTATGGAAGAAAAAAGCCAGGCAGGCAGCTGGATCAGCTCTCACTGTGAGGCTTTCCGCCTCGTCCGTGAAGTTCTAAATCTCGCTCCCCTGGACTCTTTCTCACCCGGCCTCTGTGTGCTGGGGCTGAGATGCAGCTGCCCTGGGCCAGGACGTGTGTCCCTGTTCCCACAAGCCGTGTTCCACACGCTTGGCCCTTCACTCAGCCGCCTGGCCACAGCGCCCCCTGGTGGCACAGGCCCTGGTGCACTTTGGCAGTAGAGGTGGTGGGAAGGGATGGAAACTGTGGCTGCCCTAGAGCTGTTACCGCTGGGTCACTCTGCAGCCTGCCTCCCAAGCAGAGGGTAGGGAGGTGGCCCAGGTGGAGGACTGCTTGGCTCCGGTATCTAGGAGGGGCCAGGGCTTCCCCCAGCCTGCCTGTGGCCATTGGTCTTGACTTTGCCTTTTGCCATTTCTGTACCCGAGTGGGCTTTGGTTGAGTAAATCCTTCCCTAGACAAGAGGGTGCCGCCCTTCAGGTGCCATCTGCCCAAGGCCTCTGCCAATAGGGCTGTCCCACCCAACAGGTGGTCACGTCTGACGTCTTGCACTCGGCCCGGATCCTCATCCTGCACATGGTGAGTGGAATTTGGGGCTTGTGCTGTACGGATGGTTGGTCCCCCCAGGGTTGGGTGGGACCTCAGTGTGTTCTGCCATTGTGTGTGCGCAGTGTTCATCCTGGAAATCCACAAGAATCAGAATCTATCTAAATTTCCCAAAATTGGGAACTGGCTAAGTATACACAAAACGTCCTTCTGGGGAAATTTTAAAGAGGTTGAAAGGCCCATCCGCCTCTGTGCATTGACGTGAGAGGAGACACATCAGCTCTGTGACCTTACTGGACTCCTTATAGGCCTCAGTTTCCTCATCTCTAAACTGAGGATGCCAGCAGTTCCTCCTTCGTGGGGATATGGATACAGACGTGCCGATGCTCCTAAGTGCTCACAGCAGGTCCTGGTGCACTCTGAGCGCTCAGCAAAATGTATTTTTATTGTTAAGTAAAAATAGCCAGATGAAAAAAAAATAAGAAAAAGAAAAAAAAAAGAAAAAGAAAAAAGAAAAGAAAAGCCTTTTGGGGCTGGGGAGATGGCTCAGTAGAATAAACACTTGCCTGGTAAGCGCAAGGGTCTGAGTTTAATTCCCAGTTCCGCCAAAAAAAAAAAAAAAAAGCCAGATGATAGATATTTGTGTGGAATGATCTCTGTTTAATTGAATTTTGATTGAGATAATTGTAGATCCACATGTAGGAAATAATTCAGAGAAAACTCTTTGTAGGTGTTGCCCAGATATCCCCAGAGGTAATATTTTGCAGAATTATGATTTAATATTCCCAGCCAAGATAATGACATTGACACACTTGCCAGCCTCACTTCCCCAGTTCTACTAGTGCTCATGCGTAGCTGCCTACGTGTAAATTCTCTCATCCTTGCTGTTTCCGAATGGTCTTACCTTTTTTCTGTTTGTTTGTTTTTTGTCTTTGTTGTTATTATTTTTTTTTGTGGAACCAGGGATTGAACTCAGGCCCTTGCGCTTACCAGGGAAGTGCTTATTCCACTGAGCCATCTCCCTGGTCCCAGTCTTCTCTTTGTTAAAGAAAAAAAAATTAAAGGAAGTATATATAAAAGGCTAATCACGGTGGTGCATACCTGTGATCCCAGCTACTGTGGAGACTGAGGCAAGAGGTTTACAAATTCAAGGCCAGCCTGGACAACTTTTATTTATTTATTTGTCTGTCTATTTTGTGGCACCGGGGATCAGCCTGGACAATGTAGCACGACTGTGTTTCCATATAAAAAAACTTTTTTAGGGGCCGGGAGATGGCTCAGTAGAATAAGTGCTTGCCTGGCAAGCGCAGGGTCCTGAGTTCAATCCCCAGTACTGGAAAAAAGAAAAAAAATTTTTTGAAAGAGGTGGGAGTATAACTCACTGGCAGAGCAAGCACAGGACCTTGGGTTCAATCTCTAGTTAAAAAAAAAAATAGGCTATAGTACTTCAAAATGAGGGTGGTAATTAGTGTCCCTGAGGGATAGTTTCTCTTTTGGCATATTTACACTTTCTAATTTTCACAGTGATCATGTTAATTTAGAAAATTGTAAGGGAAGATAACCAGGTGATATTTTTTATATATCCTCTGTCCCATGCCTGCTGATGAGGTGTCCCAGTTTCTGTGTCCCCAAGGCCTCCTCACCACTCCCTGCCCCCACTCAGGGCCGAGACTTCCCCTTTGATGACTGTGGCCGGGCCTTCACCTGCCTCCCTGTGGAGAACCCTCAGGCCCCCGTGGAGGCTTTGGTCTGCAATCTGGACTGCTTGCTGGATGTGATGACCCACCGGGTAAGCTGGGTGGTGGCCCAGGGTGTCTTGTTCCAGCCACTCAGCATCTGTGCAGGTTCAGACAGGGCACATGAGGAAGAATAGGCTTCAGGGTTTCTGCACATTCAGAGCCTTAAGAAGTGAGTCTTGGCCACCTTGACCGGGAGGCATGGTGCCAGGTGGGGTGGGGGGTGTATCAGCATGGAAGGACCCCTGGCACTTCAGCAGTGGATGAGGTGGCTCTGCATCCTACAGGGCAGGCCACCAATTGCATTCTCCTTTCTCTGTCTCGCCATCTCCTGCAGCTGGGCCCAGGCTCCCCACCAGGTGTGTGGGTGTGCAGCACCGACATGCTGCTGTCTGTTCCTGCAAACCCTGGTGAGCCTGCAACAGGTCTACCTTCCCTTGCCACAGCTGGGACTGGCTCTGTGTCTCTGGGCCTGCCCCACTGCCCTGTCAGAAGGGAGGCCTATGTTGTGGAGAATAAAAACCAGACCAAGAGATAGGATTTCCCCTGTCTTCTAAAAGATTCTGTTTGCCTATCTGTGGAATGGATATAACAGTCCTGCTCCTTTTGCCCTGCAGAGCTTTGTGGAAGAACTTTGGGGGAGGAGGGGTTGTCATTCTTCCAGAGGAATGTCCCTTTGGGCTTTGGCAGCCATATTTCCCCTGTAGAGGTGCCAGCATGCTCCAGTCCTGGGCTCCTGCTTCCTCCTGCCTGGGGAACTCCCTCCCTTGTGTCAGAAACCGTGGGAGCCCCTTGATTATGACACCTCTCACAGGGATCACCTGGGATGGCTTCCAGGGAGCCAGAGTGATCGCCTTTCCTGGGACCCCGGCCTACGCTCTGAATCATGGGATCTACCTCACAGATTCCCAGGTACTGCCTCTGGGGCAGCCTTCCAGGCCCTGCTGGATCTTCCAGCATGGCTGGAGCCTGGCAACAAACTGTGGCGCTTCCTTACTTTGTTCACAAAAATGCATTTCATGCCGACCACATGCTGCACTCTGTGCTTGAGCTCGGAGGCTGTGATGAAGGCCATCCCTCAGCCTTCTGTGGGTAGAAGTCACAGGTGCTGGTGTCACCACGTGTACACTGGTACCTACCAGACTTGCTTCCTAGCTCTTCACTTGGCGACACCTGTGGCTATGCCACCTTCTTGGGTCCTCTCTTGCCCCCTTTCTTAACTCTGTTCTTCTTCTGACACAGGGCTTTGTTTTGGACATTTACTACCAGGGCACTGAGGCAGAGATACAGCGGTGTGTCGGACCTGATGGGCAGGTGCCACTGGTATGGCTGCGGGGGCTGGGTTGGGGACATCTTGGGATAGAGGAGGAAGAGTTTACATTCCTTCCTCAGGAACAGCTTTACTTCTTTTAGAAGAAGAGGGGCAGGCTAGACCCAGAATCTGAAATTTCTGGAATTGGCATTGAGGGGGACAGATGGAGCCAGAGTCTGAGGAAGAGTAGGCTTGGACTTCTGGGTCTTGTTCTGAATTAGAAAGCTTTGAGTCAGGGAGTATGGTTGGAAGGAGGCAGAGACCCAGACTCATGCTTCAAGAATGAAGGACTTGGAAGAAATGTCTGGGAATGAGCCAGGAGAAGGTGGAAAGCTGGGTTTTAGAGGAGGCATGAGAATTGAGGGTGGTCCCAGGAGTTCTCTGGGTGGGAGCTGCCTCAAGTAAGCCCGAGGTCCAGGTGCTGGGGGCCTCGGAAGACCATGGTCCCTGGTTGGCATGGCGCCGGCACTTGTGTGGTCTGTCTGCGTGTGCCCTCCCTGGTTATGCCAGGCCTGGCCCCCAGGTTCCCACCTGATGCTTGGGGAGTTCCTTCCAGGTCTCTGGGGTTGTCTTCTTCTCTGTGGAGACTGCTGAGCACCTCCTGGCCACCCATGTGAGTCCACCCCTGGATGCCTGCACCTACATGGGCCTGGACTCTGGAGCCCGGCCTGTCCAGGTACCAGGAATGGGGCAACCAAGGGCTTCTGGGTGGAGGTGAGGTGCTGTGTGACCTCAGGCCAGCTCTTCTCTGAGTCTACATCTCTGCAGATGGGTTTGTCCCAGCTCAGGCTCAGGGTGTCGTAGTCCACCCTGAGCTCCAACAATAGCTGTGCTCCTTACCCTCACCCTAGCTGTCTCTGTTTTTCGACATCCTGCTCTGCATGGCTCGGAATGTGAGCAGAGAGAACTTCCTGGCTGGGCGGCCTCCAGAGATGGGGCAAGGTGACATGGATGTAGCAGATTATCTGCAGGGTGCCCGGGCCCAGCTGTGGAGAGAGCTTCGTGATCAGCCCCTCACCATGGGTGTGTACTACTTTCTTGTCCCCCTGGGTTGGGGAGACCGTGGGCATGAGGACCCTGAGAATGTTGCGTGTTAGTCTAGGCAGCTGCTCATGGACTGGGTAATGACCGTATCACTGAGCTGTCTCTCTTTCTGTCTCTTTTTGGGGTTCCTGTCCTAGTCTGTCCCCTTGGCCAGATTGTGGAACCTCTGGACTTCAGCCTCCCCGGTAGTCCAGCAGGCTATCCCCATGCCTTCCTTCCTAGTGACTGAGGAGGGTGTGTCTGCTGGCAGGAGGTCCAACCTGGCACCAGAGCTGCAGCGGGCATGGGGTTTGGGTCGGTACTTGTGTCTTTGCAGCCTATGTCCCTGACGGCCGCTACAGCTACATGACCTCCTCAGCCAGTGAGTTCCTGTGCAACTTCACCCTGCCTGGGGATGCCAGGGTGCAGATCGTCCACTCCCAGGTGGAGGTGAGACCTGTCTTCTCAGGTAGCTGCTGGGAGCCTGAGTCAGGTGGGCTTTGGGATCCAGGGAAGGGAATAGCCCATGCTGGGAACACAGTACCTATGAGCCGAGATGTTACCTCTATTTATCTGTCTGTCTGTCTGTCTGTCTTTTTTTTTTGTCTGTCTTTTTGAGAGAGTCTCACTATGCAGTTCAGGCTGGCCTTCAACTTACTTTGTAGCCCAGGCTCACCCCTAACTCAAAGCAGTCTTCCTGCCTCAGCCTTTCAAGGGCTGGGGTTATAGGCATGCACCACTGTGCCTGACTTTCCATTTATTTTTATTTTATTTTTGACACTGGAAATTGAACTCAGGATCTCATGCTTGCCAAGCAGGCTCAGGAAAGCAGTAGGCTTTACTGCCCCACATCCAGGTGCTCAGCTGTAGGAGGAGTTGGGCAGCCTCCATCTTCAGCCCTCAAGATCTTCCTCGGCTTCACAGGAGCCCCAGCTTCTGGAGAATGGGAGCTCTGTGGTCAGCTGCCTGCTGGAGGGCCCTGTCCACCTGGGGCCAGGGAGTGTCCTGCAGCACTGCCACCTGCGGGTGAGGCCTGACAGCCTGGGCAGAGGGGAGGGATGCTGAAGGGGCCGGGCTCCTGTGTTTGTTGGGGGCGCTCACGTGCTACCCACCCAGGGTGTCTGTCCTCTTCCTTACAGGGCCCTGTCCACATTGGCGCAGGCTGCTTTGTGAGTAACCTAGGCACAGCTCAGGCCGAGGCACTGCGTGGCCTAGAGCTGCACGACCTTGTCCTGCAGGGACACTACGTGTGTCTGCCTGGCTCCTCGGGCCGTGTCTTCACTCTCTTTGGCCGTCTGGACAGCTGGGAAGTAGGTGCCTGCCTTATGTACCACCCCCGCCCCCCACCAGTTATGGAGGATCAGAATCCTGGATCCTGTCCAAATTCCAGGCATCTGGGAAGGAGCACTGAGATGGTTTCAGAGCAATCTTAGTCCCCATCTGAGCAGTTCTCAGGCCTCTGACCTAGTGTCCCTGATGCCTTCCCTTTAAGGCCCCCATACCCCTAACTGCTTCCCTTTGATCCCTAGAGACAAGGGGCAGGCACATATCTCAACATGCCTTGGAGTGAATTCTTCAAGAAGACAGGCATCCGGTAAGGTGGGCACCCTGGAGGGCTTCTGTGGGCCTGGGCAGGCAGGGTGGCAGCTTCTTGGTTTGTCCCTTCTCCTGTGTGGGAGTAGCCCTGACCCCACATCATCCCACTGAACCAGGGAAGTTTGGGGCAGCTGCATCCTCTCTAGTACTTCCCCTCTGGACAATTCCAAATGCCTCTGTGTGCTCAGACCTGGGGACTTCTGTTCGGTAGCCTGGGGAAGGTGGCAAGGCACTGTGGCCTCTCCTGGAATTGTGTGCTGTCCCCCGGAGGAGTTAGCGCTGGACAGGCAGGTCAGGGCTCTGGGAGGAGGCATGAGCCACAGCTGCCTTCTCATAATGCACCTCTCCCATCTCAGAGCCTGGGACTTGTGGGACCCAGACACATATCCCTCTGAGCATCACCTTCTCAGTGCCCGCCTCTTTCCTGTGCTGCACCCCTTGAGCACCCCAGGGCCCCAGGACATGCTGTGGGTGCTGGACCCCCAGGAGGATGGAGGCAAGGCCCTGCGGGCCTGGCGAGCTTCCTGGCGCCTGTCCTGGGAGCAGCTTCAGCCACACCTGGACCGGGCTGCCACACTGGCCTCCCGCAGGGACCTGTTCTTCTGCCAGGCCCTGCGGAAGGCTCAGCATGTGCTGGAGACCCGGCAAAACCTCAGCCTGCGCCCCTTGATCCGGGCTGCTGTCCATGAGGACTGTCCTGGGCCACTGCTAGCCATGCTGGACCAGGGTGAGTGTACTAAGCATTAGTGCTGGGGGTCAGGCCACTGTCACCTTTGCTCTGGGCCTTCCATGGAGGGCAGGAGAGAGCCAAGCAACTCTACAGCTATGGAGAGACACTTGAGTTTACTTTAGGCTTCTAGGAGGCTGCATCTCCCTCAGCCAGCAACTAGGCTTCTGGGTGCTCAGTGTTGGGAGAGCTTGTGTTCTGTGCTGGGGATCCAGCACATGGGTACTGAGCTTGCCAGAGCTCTGGGGGATGTGGGCAGTCCTCCCTGGGGTCCCACACACTGCCGGGTGCTCAGGGCCAAAGGCTTGGCGAGCACACCTGTCTTGTGGTCTCTCAGAGCACTGGCGCAGTAATGTTATCCCTGATTAAGTCTCTCTCCCCCAGCCATATGGCCAGTTGTGGAGACACTGAGACTTGAACCTAATTGGTTTGATGTCTGAGTTCTTAATATCTCTGGGTGCCCTGCACTGGGGTGAAGGGGCACGTCTGGGCTTGGCTGGCAGGATGACAAAATCCTGCTGGGTAGGAAGTAGGGTGTATTCACAGGCAGGAACACATCTGGGCCTAAGCCTGGGAGGGGTTAGGGGTCTGAAAGTCTACCGAGGAGGCTGTGGGGCCTGAAGGTGTTGGAAGCCAGCCCCCTCACCTGCACCTCTAACTTCTGGTCCTTCAGTTGCAGCAGGTGCCAAAGACCCTGGTGTGGCAGCTCGGGCTCTGGCCTGTGTGGCAGACGTACTGGGTTGCATGGCAGAGGACCAGGGAGGCTTACGGAGTGGGCCAGCTGCTAACCCTGAGTGGGTGCGGCCCTTTTCATACCTGGAGTGTGGCGACCTGGCGGGGGGCGTAGAGGCACTTGCCCAGGAGAGGGACAAGTGGCTGAGCAGGTGGGTGCTTTGAGAAGCCTCTGACCCTTGGAAGAAGTAGCTCCAGGTTGTAGAATCTGAGAGAAATGTGGGACACCCTCAGGTCACCCAGTGCAGTCAGATCCTCCAAACCAGGTATTCTCTCCCCAGCTTGGGCTTCCATGCAGCTATCTCCCTTCCCTCCTGGCAGGCCAGCCCTGCTGGTGCGAGCTGCTCGCCACTATGAAGGAGCCGGGCAGATCCTGATCCGCCAGGCTGTGATGACAGCTCAGGACTTTGTCTCCACGGAGCCAGTACAGCTGCCAGCACCTGGGCAGTGGGTGGTGGCTGAGTGCCCAGCCCGTGTGGATTTCTCAGGTGAGTCCCTTGTGGGAATTGGGATGAGGGCAACTGTCTCAGGGCCATGGTGAGAGACTCTGGGAGCAACTTGTCAAAACTGCCACAGGGGGCTGGAGTGACACACCACCTCTTGCCTACGAGCTTGGTGGGGCAGTGCTGGGTCTGGCTGTGAGAGTGGACGGCCGCCGGCCCATCGGAGCCAGGGCACGCCGCATCCTGGAGCCCGAGCTGTGGTTGGCAGTGGGGTCTCAGCAGGATGAGAAGCCCGTGAAGATAGTGTGCCGGAGTCTGGATGACCTGAAGGATTATTGCCAGCCCCATGCACCAGGTCAGGACACCCCAGGACAAATGTAGGTAGGGTGGCATACGCAGCCAGCTGGGTGGACAGAACCTGGAGAGGCCTCTATGCCAGCCACTGGGGCATGGCCTGAGTGCTAGCCAGAGGGGCTGGGGCAGCCTGAAAGCTGCCTCGGCACATCCAGGCACAGGGAAAAGATGACCTCAAACTGTTTTGGAGCTTGAGGATGGGGTTTATACTGCTGAGGCTTTTGTTCCACCAGATGTGCCCCATTCTCGGCTGGGAGGCAGCAAGGGAGGTGGGCTGTTGGACTGGGGTTTGAGGAGACCAAATTCCTTGCTTTGTATCCTTCTACAGGGGCCCTGCTGAAGGCGGCCTTTATCTGTGCAGGGATTGTGCACATCCACTCTGAGCTCCCGCTGTGCCAACAGCTGATGCAGACCTTTGGGGGTGGCTTTGAGCTCCACACTTGGTCTGAGCTGCCCCATGGCTCTGGTCTTGGTGAGTGGGTCCTGGCCCTGTTGACCACCTGTGTACAGCTCTCCAGCCTCAGCTCTATGCCCCTGCCTGGCCTGTGCACAGCAGAGTAGGATGGAACTGGGCTGTGCGGAGGCAGTTCATCTGTTCTCTGCACCCTGCAGGAACTAGCAGCATCCTGGCTGGTGCTGCTCTGGCTGCTTTGCAGCGGGCTGCAGGCCGGACAGTGGGCACAGAGGCCTTGATCCATGCAGTGCTACACCTGGAACAGGTGCTCACCACAGGTGTGTGATGGCCTGGGGCAGAGGGAGGTCTCTGGTATCTTCCCAAGTGTCTTGGGGGTCTCCTGTCTGTTGGCATAGGATTTTCCTGTAGTTGTATGGCTGCTGCTGCTGCTTAAAAATTTTGGGATTACAATGTGTCCAGCATAACCAGCCCAAGTGCTAGCTTGGGCTCTGCCCAGGCTGGTATTCACCAGAGCTGGGTTTGGAACAGAGGATGGACCCTCAGCCTGTCCTCCTGGCAACCTGCCTCTCCCTTGGGCAGTGACCATCTGTACCGTCATTGCTCCCTGCCATATGGTGGGGCAGCAAGGGCCCAGCCCAGGCTATGATCTAACAGGATGTTCTGGTGCCAGGCTTTTTTCCTGGCCATGATGGTGCCTTGGAACCCATTCACAATGTGGAGTGGCCAGAGATTTGACTGATTCCAGATCCTAGGGCGTTCTGTTCACCCAGGCCTCCTCTCAGCAGGCTGCTAAAGGAAGCTGCCGCAGGAGATGCAGAGCCCCGATTATGGTGTCTGCTCCCAGCCCTTCACAGCCCAGCCCCCTCCTCTAGTCATGACTCACATCCCCTAGTAATAGTCATTAGCAAAAGGGTTCCATGGTTCTTTTGGAGGATGTTTTAATTCAAGTTCTTATTTTTCTCAACTGACACTTCTTTATTGAGAACCCACTATTGAGTCCCAAGGATAAAATGAGGGAGAACAAGGTCCTTGCCCCCAACAGTCACCAGGTAGAAGGAGATGGATATTAACAACCTCTCAAGGGAATGTATCCTGTCAGACTGTACTAAAGGCTCTGCAGGACAGAGGCACGCCTAGGAGTTCGACATTTCCAGTTCTGTCCTACCACTGTGTTCTGGCTGTTAAAGTCTCAGCTGCAGCCTGCCATTTGCATTCTGTACTTTTAAATCCTTGCAAGTCCTTCCTCAAATACTGAGGCCTGGGGGCCTGGCCCTAGCTCAGTCCTTTAAATGGCTGCTTCCACAAAGCTGTCAGCCTCAGGTTGCTGGAGTTCGAACCTCACAACTCTCTGGTTGGCCAAAAGTGCCCTGAAGGCATTCGAGGAACAAAAAAAAAAAAAACAAAAACAAAAAACCAAACAAAACTGAGGGCCTAGGCACAATGATCCATGCCCTCATTGCAGCACTGGGGGAGGCAGAAGCAGGAGGATCACAAGTTCAAGTCTTGCCTGGGCAACTTACTGAGATCCTATCTCAAAGTAAAGGACTGCAGGTGTAGCTCAGTGGTTGAGTCCTCTGGGTTCAGTCCCCAGAATCATACACACACATATGCACACACACACACTCACATTGAGAGCCTGTCCCAGAAGTAGCTCTTGGAACTTAGACTTCTGAGCTGTCTCCCCAGCCTATCCCTAGCTTTGTTTTTTTTTTGAGATACTGTCTAAGGTGCCCAGGGTAGCCTTGAGCTTGTGCTCCTCCCATGTCATCCTCCTAAGTGTTTTAAGATTACAGGATTACCTCAACTAGGTTTGTTTTTATATAGCTGTAGGGGGAAGAGATCATACTTTTCATTACTAAAGCATGACGTATATAGCTCTTTCAAGTTAAATGAAAGAAAAATGAGAGGTACTGCAAAGCCTTTTTCTAATATAAACACTCTGAGAAGACAGTACAGTGGATCATTAGGTTGCAGGGAAGCCCTGGCTCCTTTCCTCTGGCTCAACTTCCCTAGGAGAATAGAGGTTAGCGTTCAGCCCTGGGGTGTGGTCTGCCTCAGTTCCATTTACACAGTAGGGGTCTGTACTGAAAGGCAAGCCTTGTGAATTCCAAGCTTGGCTCTGGACTGCAGCCCCTTCCCTTGCTGAGGGTGGCTGGTTTCCGCTGGGAGACACACAGCTCACCTGTCACTGGTCCCAGCCAAGGGAAGAGGGCCAGGAGCCTGAGCTGTGCTAGATAGGCTTCAACAGACATAGGGCCCTGGGCTTGCAGGAGGTGGCTGGCAGGACCAGGTGGGTGGCCTGATGCCTGGTATCAAGGTGGGTCGCTCCCGGCCCCAGCTGCCACTGAAGGTGGAGGTGGAAGAGATCACAGTGCCTGAAGGCTTTGTCCAGAAGCTGAATGAGCACCTGCTCTTGGTGTACACTGGCAAGACCCGCCTGGCTCGGAATTTGCTGCAGGTAAGCACAGCTCAGGTTGAGCGAGGCAGATGGCTCAGCTGGGCTGGGACCCTCACTGCACCTCTTTGCTCCTGTGCAGGATGTTCTGAGGAGCTGGTATGCTCGGCTTCCTGCCGTGGTGCACAATGCCCACAGCCTGGTGCAGCAGGTGGAGAAGTGTGCTGAAGCCTTCCGCCAAGGTGAGCTGCTACTGCAGAGTAGGGCATCTTGTCACAGGCCTCAGAGGCCGGTGGCCTTTGCAAGGGCCAGCACATCTATTAGGTTTTCGGGACAAGTCTCCTGTGTCTAATCTTGGGTTTCACATGGATGGAAGATGACTCTCAGGGCCAAACCTGCTTCCTGAGAAGGGTTTTCCAGCCCTGCCTGCCAGAAAACAGAAGAGGCTTGGCACTGCGTGGGGGCAGGAATTCAGCAGAACAGCACTCCACTAGTGTCCTACATGGTTCTTTCTGCTGAGTACCATTGTTGGTTAGTTCCTGGACTTCAGTCTGCAGCCCTGTGCAAGGGGCTTTACTATTTCTGTGTCCAGCCAGCACTGATGCTGGGTTACCCGACGCTTGTACTTCCTTTGTACCATAAAGGGGCATTGAGGGCCTGGGCCCCAGAGAGCACACTTCATTCTACCCTGCCCACAGGAAGCCTGCCTCTCCTGGGCCTGTACTTGACTTCATACTGGGAGCAGAAGAAGCTCATGGCCCCGGGCTGTGAGCCCCTAGCTGTGCGGCGGATGATGAATGTGCTGGCCCCCCATGTGCACGGCCAGAGCCTGGCAGGCGCAGGTGGTGGGGGCTTTCTCTATCTGCTGACTAAGGAACCACAGCAAAAGGAAGTTCTGGAGGCTGTGCTGGCCAAGACCGAGGTACTGGAGTATGTTGGGGTTGGTAGGTGGTAGGGAAGATGTGGCCTGCCAGCTCATCAGGGGCTGCATCTTCAAGCCCCTACAGCTTTGCCCTCAGCCTCTCGAAGGCTGATGGCCAGAGGCCTCTGACCACCTTCTGTTCTTTGCAGGGCCTTGGCAACTATAGTGTTCACCTGGTGGAAGTGGACACACAGGGCCTGAGCCTACAGCTGCTGAGTAAGGTCTCCACCTCATGTCCAGTGCCATGGGGCCAGGCCTGCTGAATGGGCAACACCACAGCTACACCACTGTGCCCTTCCTTCCCTCGTGGGAGTTCTCAGCTTGGCTCCCCACCTGCCTCTTTGAATTTACCCTATAGGGAGCAAGACTTAGGCCAGGTAGACAGTGTTGGGGAGAGGACTACCTCCTAGTGACAAAGGCTGAGGCTTGACCTCTGTCACATGTGGACTAAGGGCCAAAGCTCAGTGTCCAATGTAGCCATTACAAATCACATGGCCCAATGGAGCCTTGGCCTTTTCTGTCTACTAGGATCTTAGGAGAAGGGACGACAACCAGTCATAGCAGATGCCTGGGGTCTCTTGGTAAGGCTGACCCTAGAGGCCTTTTGAAGCTTTTCCTGTGGTTTAAGGTTGCAGAGTCTATGTTCATGACTCCACTGCCCTCCTGGAGAAGTGGGGTGATGGTAGGGCTGTTGCCAGGGCTGTGGCACTGAACAGGGGTGGGCCTGCACCACGTCCCTGCCAGCCCAGCCAGCAACCACATAGTGCCAAGTGAGCAGTGCCTGTGGGCAAGGGGTTCTTAAGACTGATATTCTTGGAATAAATTCATTTTGCTTTGCAAGGTTGTGCTCAGAAAGCTTTCTTGTTTTTGCCAGAAGCAATTCCCACTTCTGGCACTGTGGACAACTCCCCCTGGAATGACCAGCTCGTGGTGCTGTGGCGCCATGAGGGAAGTGAGGGGCCAGGCCTGAATTAGTGCCTTGAGGCTGGGAGGTGTGGGAGGATGATGAGGCCTTGAGCATCTCATTTTACATTTCAGTGCGAGTGTGGACCTGTCCTGCCCTGGCGCAGCCCACCGTCCCTGGAACCAGCACACTGGCATTTTCCCAGCAGTGTCTTTATTCTCCCAGCATGCCTCTCACTCCTACTCAGGGCAGGCAGGAGTCAGGTTTTACACGGACACCTCTTTTTTTTTTGCAGAATCGGGGCTTGAACTCAGGTCCTTGCGCTTGCCAGGGAAGAACTTATTCCACTGAGCCAACTCCCGGGCCTCTAGCAGTGTCTTTATTCTGATGTTTATTCATAAACATCAGTCTGTCCTTGCTGTCAAACCTAATTCCCTAGTCTCCACATGCACCCAGGTCCTCTGCAGGGGCTGGCAGGGGCACCATGTTTGCCAAAGCTTGAGGTCAGAGAATGCCGGGCTCATGCAGAAGGCTGGCCTAACTCACACTGCCTGCTTTGGTTTTTCCCCATCTTCCTGGTGGGCAAAGGCTGTCCCCAAAGCACACCAGCTAGGTCTGAGAGCGAATGTGGAGTGAGTCCTATTCTCTTTCCTGCTGACAGTGGTGGAATGGCCAGGAGCTGGACAGCCATGCAGCTCCTTGGCTGTGGCTACTGAGGGAACAGGTGCTGAAGTGTGATGTGCTGGATGGGCTCACCCTAGCACCTACAGGCGCAGCCGCTTGATGTCCTCATGCCGGAAGTCTATGCGCAGAGCCAGTACCTGGCGTACTTCAGCAGGAGTGAGGCGCCATGTCAGTGGGCCAGAGTTTGCACCCCAGTAATCTAAGATCTCAGTCACCTGTGGGCAGGAACAAAGAGCAGTCAACAAGGTGGACTATCCTATGGGGAGGCTTTGGGCTCCACTGAGGGCAAAGCATGTGCCCAAGGAGGGGCAGGGACCCAAATTTTGTCTTTGGCTCTTCCTAGTCACCTTTCTGTTGCTAAACTGAGGGAGCCCTACATACCCGCTCAAGATTCAGGATTGTGGCCATCTGGGAGAGTCGGGCAAACTTGTCTCGGATGGTCCAGGTTGTCACCGTAGTAAGGTAGGCAATCAGCGACCTCAGCTCCTTGTCAAACTGCAGCCCGCCCAGCTATAAAAAAAAGAGGCCTTGGTCTCTCTGTGGAAGCCTGGCCACAGCTGCCCCTCAGCTGGGGCACTGTGGTTACACTGTGCTCTGGACCTCAGAAGCCATGACAGGGTTGGGTGAAGATGTACAGGATCTAGAGGTGGCAGGGGGTGGTGTCACATTTCCCTCTGGGGAGATGAAGCCCCAATCTTACCCGGTTGAAGGAGGACTTCAGTACCACTTTCTCTAATTCAACAGCAACAAGGCTGGTCAGGAGGCTGGTCAGGCTGTCATAGATGACTGGGGACAGACTGGCCTGCAGAGAGGTGTGACATCCATGGAGCCCCCAGCACCTCTGCTTCTCCTTGGAGTCTTCAGAGGTGGGGAGTTATAGGGTACAGAAAGGCGTAGAGTAGAAGGCTGGAGGGACAAACTGCAGGTTCCAGTGTGGCAGGTAATTCCAAAAGCCCTCACTCACCTTGAACTCTGACATCTGCTGCTCCAGGTTAAGGATGAACTGTTGTACCCAAGGGTCATTGGCCTCATAGTCATTGAATTCTTCCTATTGTGAAGGAGGGCTAGTGTCACCATGGTCCTATTTCTCAGAAGTACCACTACCCCCTTCACCTTTATCCTTCTGAGAAAACAAGAGGACAGGTCTTGCTTCCCTGTAGCTTGATGCCCCTAATTTGAAACAGTCTTGCTATGTAGTTTAGTCTGGCCTTGAACTTACCATAGTCCAGGCTGGCCTCAAAAGTGATCTTTCTACCTCAACCTGAGTGCTGTGATTATAGGCATGCCCATCTCTGATACCTCCACTTTAAATCAGTTTGACCCTGAGGCTGGCAGAACCTGCTGCTGCCATCACTGCACCTCCAGCCAGCAAACTGTCCCAAGCTGGAGCCGTGGCTCCCAGACTGGTTACAACTGGTTCACTGTTCCCTCCTATAGCTCATGCTGTGCAGAAGTAGTTATTCAGGTAGGGAGACAAAGGCTAGTCTATGAGAGAAGAGGCAAAAACCAGCCTAAATAAGTTGGGGATGGTGGCATTGTTATAGTTTCTAGTTGTCTCCCCAAAGCCTCATGCAGTCATGGGGCAGCATACCAGATAAGTGGGGTCATTGCTGTAGCTAAACCTGACCATGTGATTTATAAGCTTTTGGGAATGGCTTATGGGAAGAGATAAAAAGGTTTGGAGATGTTCCCTATAAGTGGTAGAACAGCTTTGGTTTTTTTTTTTTTTTTTTGACATCTCAGGCTGCCTTCAGGGTAGGGCTAGCTGGGGATCGTACAAAGGTATCTTGCTCCCGACTGCCTTTGCATGAGCAGGCGCTTAAAGGACTAACCTAAGGGCAGGCCATCCCTGTTTTTATGGGAGATTCAGGTCAGAGCTCAGAAGACCAGAAGGTTGATAGAAATCCTGCCTATAAAGACCAAGCTGGAGGGGCCCTGCCCCGTAGCTCAGTTCTTTAAGTTGCTGCTTCAAAAAAACAGTCAGGCTCAGGTTGCTTGGATTCGATCCCCACAACACAATACAGCCAGTCATGCCTTGAAGGCATTCGGCGAAAAAAAAAAAAAAAAAAAAAGACCAAGCTGGGGAGTTTTCTGATGGGAAGGACTGCACTGGTTGTTGGATCCCAGATGATTTGTGTTATAAACTGGCAAAAAGCTTGTCTGTATTTTGCTTGTGTTCAGAGACTTTGCCTGATACTGAGATTAAGTGTGAAGGATTGATCTGGCAAAAGAAATTTCAAAGCAGCCAAATATTGAGGCAGTGGACTGGCTATTGTTGGCAGCTTTTAGTCAGATTTTTGTTGAGACTCAAGAGCAAAGAGCCCAGCAGGATGGTTTAAAATATTGAGTTTGGTCAGAAAGAAAGCTTCAATAAAGCTTAATCTCAGTATCAGGCAAAGATGGAATGTGAAGATAAGAGCTGAGAGATCTCCATTGATGGGAAGGAACTAGAAAATGAAAAGATGTGGCCTAAAGGCATCACAGGTGGTAGCAGGTCTCCACCCTTTGCAGTCTCAGAACAGCAAGGGTGAGGGACTTTGCCTTGGGGAAGAAGCTGCAGAGCCTCATGTTTCACAATGGTGGCAGCAGTCAAACTAGGTTCCAGAATGGCACTGGCATGGAGAATTTATTCCTCAGAATCAGGTCTGGACTGCTCACTGACCCAGACACTGGACCCCTACAGCTAAGAGAGAAGAAAGCCTGGCTACTGTTCCAGCTGGTAGCAGACCTTGGGCATCATCCATGTGGTTTTGGTCTTAGGCACATAGAGAATGCAAGAGTTCTGAGGTTAAGAAGGCTTCCACCTAGATTTGAGAAGGTAGCCTGGGAGGCCAGGTAGTGTGCCCAAGTGGACGTTGTCTAAAGCTGTGAGAAGCCTACTCAGTGGAAACCCCAAAAGTTTGGAAAAGCCAGAAATATGGATCATCTAAGAGAAACTGCAAAGAGGGAGCAAAGCCAGCCACAGAGATGCCATGGGAGCTACCATTAAGAATGCCAAAGGAGGGGCTGGTAAGATGGCTCCGTCCTACTTAGAACAAATCAGCTAAACAAAGCACCGGGACCGCGGTTCAATCCCCCAGCACCACATGCCAGCCAGCCCCGCCCCCTGGTGGGCTGAGCTGGCCACACACACACATAAATAAATGTAAAAAAAAATTAAAAAAAAAAAAAAAGAATGCCAAAGGAAGGCTGGGGAGATGGCTCAGTAGAATAAGCGCTTGCCTGGCAAGTGCAAGGACCTGAGTTCAACCCCTGGTTCCGCCAAAAGAAAAAAAAAAAAAAAAAAAAAAAAAGCCAAAGGGGCAGAGCCACATGGAGTTTACAATTTGCCAGACTGCTTTGGATGTTCCACATGAACTACAGGACTTAAATGTGACCCTTTTCAATTTTGTGCTTGCTTTGGTCCCAATGCTTGGTATCCTGCTAGGTGTACCTTTTGGAATGGTGATGTTTATCTTATGGCACTGAATGTTGGAAGTATTTTAATTTTTCATTTGTACAGGGGCCCACAGCTAAGTTTACCTTAGATCTTGGAAGAGATTCAGGACTTGGACTTTTCAGCAATGCTGAAACTGTAGGACTTTGGTAACTCTCTGAGATGGACTAAAATGTCTTGCTTAAGGGGATGTGCATAAGTCTTTGAGGGGGTCCAGGGGTAGAATGTTATGGTTTGTGTCTAGTTGTCCCAAAACCTCATGGAGTCATGGGGTGGAATGACTAGTTTGTGATTCTTGATCCAATGTTGGGATTATGGGTGTGAGTGTCCTGGAGCAGATACTCTCCACTACAACACAAGGAGGAGAGAGAGGCTAGCTAGCTGCCTGAGCTGCTGCCACTCCCTTTGCTCTCTGCTGCTGTCATGAAAGGTTGCTCTATGTCATGTGCCACACTGGCTTGGAGCCAGCTGAGCATAGACTGAAGCTTCCACTAACTGTGAGCTAAATAAACCTTTCCTTCCTTCATTTTGAGTGTCAGGTATTTGTATCAGCAACAAGAAAAAAGTAACTGAGACAGGCATATACCAGCAATCCCTGCATTCTGGGAGACTGAGGTAAGAGAATTGTGGAGCATTGTGAGTTCAAGTCCACTACATATAATTTAGCAGACTTAGCAAAGAGCCTGTCCCAAAACAAAAAATAAAACGGACTGGGACTGTAGCTCAGTGTGAAGGCCTGGGATTCAACGAGAAGCACCACACAAACCAACCAACCATCTGACCAACCAACCAACCAACCAACCAACCAACC